TGGTTCTTATATGAATATAAAATCAAATATGATATAATGCAAGGGTCACTAATAGGTGGACCGCGGGCCAGATCCGGACCCAGACGCCATTATATCCGGACTCTGGACCTAAAACCGATAGATAATTGAGAATTATTCAATTTTGACGGAGCGCTTCTATTTTAACCGGAGCAGCTTTTCTAGTCTTTACGGCACTCGTTCAGTGGTGCATGAAACACACCGACCAATTACATGCTTTGTAAATCACATCACGTGATGAAATATGTTTATTCTGACAAGTTTCCTGACTCGAGTGAGATTTTCACACAGGAGAGAGACGAGGAAAGAGAACGAAGAGTAGGAGAATTATGAGTCAGAGAAGTTATTTCACATGACGTTCTCCAAAAAGAGAAATGTGGTCAGAGAGACCAGAGTCTTTAACCAAGAATAGATTGACTCTTATATGTTAATTCTTCACACAGGCAGTTTAAAACCAGTATGTCTCTTGTGTTTTGTGACTGTAACGATAATTAAAAGCGGTAATGTGAAGCGCCGCTACGAGACAAAGCACAACTCTTTTTAGCAAACGTACACATTCACATCTGAAGTCACAGATAATATACAATCTAAGAGCCCAATATGATCAGAATCCTAACACCTTAATTCACTGTCCAACAATGATGTTAACAGAGAGGAATAGAACTGAAACAAGTGGTTTCAATAACCACAAATGAAGTCTCTGCACACAACTTTCTCTTTTTAGAAGAAAGTTAAGTACTTTAATTTAAGATGCACATTTTTCAAAAGATTTATGTAATGTAATTTATTCTTTAATCCAGCCCTTATTTTACTTAAAACGAGAGCATAACATTTATTTATTAATAGCGTATGTATTATTTATAATTCATCCAGTTAAATTTGAAAACTGACAATAAATATTGTTGAGATATTATTCAATTGAACTTTATTTATTTTCTTTATTTGATTTGACAGTCAGTTGTTGACTACATACAGACGTTAATACAACTGTTGGCTAACTCAATATATATGAGACTAAATCATACCGCAAGTTAGACAATATTGTATTGTTCCGGACCTTTACATGAGGAAATTCTCTCTAAATGGACCTCGCTGAACTTTAATTGAATACCCCTGATATAATGTGTTCATTAGTGAGCATTAGGTGTTGGTAGATCCAGGCTAGCTCTTTCCCCCTGCTTCCAGTCTTTATGCTAAGCTTATATATTGGTTCTGAGTTGTTTTAAGATAACTAGATATTCCAAACATTATCTTGTTTAACGGTCTGAAAAAACAAGATTTGAAACGGGTAAAAATCATCATTTGTTATTTCAAGAAAGTAAAACCCTTGATTTCAGCTGACTGGCAGAATATACGTATATGATTAATATACAAAAAATCATGATCTCATAATACGATCTTAAAAAATAAGCAACTAGCCATTAGATGTTTGTCTGAATGATAAACAATAAAGGTTAAATGGTAAAAAAGTTAGTATATAAATGTATGAGTATTTAAATCACTAACATTCATTATTGTTAATTAATAACACATGTCAAATAATATCAGATCTATGAATAATGCATGGTAATAAAGCCTAGTCACATATATTTTGTTACGAGTGAAAAGGAAAACTGAAAATAATCACACACACCAAAATGCTACAAAAGTGTTTACCTGCCTGGAAGTCTGCGTTTAGCTCCTACATGTGAAGACAGAGTAGTTGAGGGTCAAAGTGGTCAGAGAAGCAATAGGTCAACATCACAGCAGTGCTACAGATTAATGCTGCATCAGAAGTTCATGCCAAAGTCACAGCCAAAGTCACAGCTATTTCACTGTGTATTTCAGTTACAGACAGCAACCAAAAAGCAAATTATGCACATTAGTCCTTGTGCGCTGCACACCCACCATGTGAGCAATCCATTTAGCTGTCACCTTACTCACCCAAAGCACACCCACACAGGCCTCAGACAGTGCATCTTGTTAGAAACAAGCACAGATTAGAGGAAGAGCCACAGCCAGCGTGGGGTGAGTAGAAAGATGATATATATTGTATATTCATAGAAAGAAATTCCGTCTCCTCTAACCCACACGTTTGACAGTCACAACTTGTATAACCTCCAAGAGCATTGTGAAATTGAAGCACCAATGTGCAGTGAGCTGACTTGTGGCTATACGGGACATTGGTTATGGCCGAGAGGCTTTTCACATGTAGCTGAAGTGATATCATACTGGGCTCTCAAACTCTTGAGTTGCAGCAAACTACTAATATCCATCATTTCCAGAGTTGAATTAATTTTTTCAATGTATGATTTCAAGATAATTGTTTCAAAGAACAAAAGCACATTTGGTAACAAGAGGTGAATTAAATGAAGACTTGACTATGTTTGCTATAACTGTTGCTGTCTTCCATTTCCATAAATACACACACAGCAACACTGGCAGATGTAGCATAATATTTTCTAAACTTAAGTGGGTGGGATAATGATGCAACATGAAACTGCATTGACAAATCAAATATGCACATATTTATATTCCAAAAGACTTTGTGATGTACAAATAGTGTCGTGATGGTGATGGAAGATGAAATGATTGAACTCCCTCAAGGTACATCAACCACTGTGCAGTTTTAAACCTTCAAACTGACAATCATGTATTGCATCTCATTGTCTCTGTAGCTGAAGTCACATTGCCTTCACCAACAAGGCCACCTGCACTGTTTAGTTGCAGTGCCCAATAACACACTCACATGCACAGCTACGTACCATTTAGAGTTGGAAAGCCTGCACTATAGATGATAAAGAGTTGCTTCTACCTGATTCTTCAACTTTTACTGAGAAACGCTCTCTACTGACAAAATAATTATATTTCACCAGTGAAGCACCAATTTCAAACGTGTTAACTATGAGCTTTTTATTCATTGTGACAAAATAACAAATGTCACACTGAAGGCAGTGATGGAACTTTTATCAGCAAGAGGGAACGTATTCATCAACAGAACACCAATGAAACAGCCTTTAAGTGCAACTCAATGTATCTGTCCCAACACATTCTCATCCCAACTCGTCACATACTGACGCAGCCCAGAGTATGGTCGCATGTGGTTTAAGTTGTGAATTTAAACAAAAACACTCAGTGGAGATGCACTGATTGCAACTTTCTTGGCTGATTTTTTTAAAGTTTGACCAGCAGATTCCGATTTTCATTTAAAAAACTATAATTGACAGGAAGGCTACAGACTACTACACAGTAGTGTAGTTACTACAGAGATGTTACTACTGCTAGACTTCTTGAATATATACATACACATATACATATACACATATACATATACACATATACATATACACATATACATACACACATACACACACATATATACACACATACACACACACATACACACACACACACACATACACACATATACACACACACACACACATACACACACATACATATACATATATACACACATACATATATACACACATACATATATACACACATACATATATACACACATACATATATACACACATACATATACATATATATATACACATATACATATATATACATATACATACATATACATATACATATACATATATATACACACACACATATATATACACACACATACATACACTTTGCACGAGGAGATTTTCTTTGGAAATTTACTTGAATACCCCTGGTATAGAAGAACACCAACAGAGTTTATTTTCACATGCTAATTGAGCATGGTGAAATGCAAGTACGACACCGACTACATGAGATATGGATTTTCTTACATTGAGGACAAAAGAGGGCAAAAACCTCAGTGTGTTTTGTGCAGCGAGGTTCTGGCACGAGAAAGCATAAAGCCGTCAAAACTGAAGCAGCATTTGTTGGATCAATCCGCAGCGGATAAGCTGAAAACTATACCTCTGTCAAATGACACTATAAGTAGGAGACTTGAAGACATGTCGGATGACATCAAACAACAGACCACAGCTCGAATTTAGGTAAGTGGTCATTTTGCATTACAAATGGCCAAATCTACTGACAGAAAAAACAAAGCAGTTTTACTCGTTTACGTGAAACGTGTGGGACGAGGAGAGCTCCCTACTACTACAACTGCAGAGGACATTTTCAGCTCAGGTTCAAACTGCACCATCTTTTCATTAAATAAATTTGAGAAGTTTGGGTCGCGGCCTGTCATTGAGGGGTGATGGTGGGTCCTGCAGCAAGACCAGTTGAGAACCACTGCTTTATAATATTGGTTCTATATTGCAATGGAAACATCTCCTTCAAACCACTGGATTTATTCAAGTTACTCACCAAAAACTACATTTTACAAGATTACATTTGAACACTTGATGATATAGTTTACCTTCACCCAATACTCATTTTTACTGAGGAGGGCTTGAGGCCACGTCTGAAGCTTCTGCTCAGCTGAAGAGACAACAGTGTGCTCATCGCTCCACATCTGATGTAATCTTCCTCACATTAGTCATTAAACTAACACAAATGTATTTACACAGTTTTCCACATTGTTTTTCACAGTTGGTGATTGGAGCTCTTTTGATGACGTCATCTTGTTGTACCCTCTTCCTCTGCAGTGCTATAATGGTTTTCTTACTGAAGAATTGGCGCCACCTACCACTTATCTCATTAAACCAACTCCTAATAATCGCTCAACTGGAGTGGATGGAAAACAAGCATCATTCGTATTTTCTTTTACAGATTTTCTCAAAATCCGGTTTAAATTTGCGATACATTTTGATGGAAACCTGGCTACGTTTAAAATATACAGACCCATGTTGTGATCTTTACTTTATTGTCACATCAGGAACCAGCAAATTATGTTTGTTAACAGCTTAAGGATTTTTAGATGTCCTCATGATTCATTGCCTCAAGGTGAAAAGTTGCGTATTGTAGCAGAGGTAATCAGTAAGCAACACACAGCAGGCTAAGAGCCAGTGGAGCAAAAACAGTATACAAAGTTTATTTGGGCCTACCTTGATAATGTCCTCAGCCGTCCTCTCCACCTCTTTTAAACGTTTCAGAACTACTTCTTCATTGGCAGAGATGTTGAGCTCCTGTGTTTCCAAGGCCTCGATTTCCTCCTCTATTCTGTAAAAGAGAGATCTGAACCATGTTGATGACTGAAACAAGCGGTCATCTGAATTAACAGCAGCAGCTACTATCTGAATGGTTTTTATTAAAGCAAGAATAACACACTTGCTTCAGAACTTTTCGCCACATTAGGCATTCTGGGAAGTATTGCTGTGTTTGCTTGTAAGGTATTTCCAGTTTCCAGTTATCCAATTTAAAACATGGCTTTGTACGTGTACATGAATGTTGTTGTTCAGCTGTGAAGTAAAGAGTTTCATATTAATTTAAGTAGTTAAGTTAAGTAATGTTTAGCAATGTAAAAAATATTTTGGTGGTTTTGGCCCAAGTAACTAAATCTTTCCATTTTTATATTTGAGTATTTAGTAATTTCTTTACTCTGTCTTAAACCTGTTAAAAAACTAAATGGCTTCCATTGAAAATAATACGTCTTACAAATGTGTAAACTTGAGATCTGCAGTTAATTTTCCTTCAGTCAAAAATGTACTTCAGGGTTTTTCTCAAAGACTGTGTAAGCGTCTTGTTCACAATCCCCTGCAGCAACTAGTCCCTGCTCAGGGCTAACATGTCCCATACTTACATCTCATGCTCACTTTCCAAACACATTCCCTCAAGTATTTTGATTGTGATGTCTTAACGTTTCTTTCCAGACTTCTGCTGATATGTTAATTAGGGCCCGAGCACTGACGTAGTCGGAGCGGAGGACCTACTGTTCTGCTAATGTTTATTATTAGGGCCCGAGCAACTGACAACGTCGGGCCAGCGAAGGCCCTATTGAAATTCTATGGGGTATTATTAATCCTTTTATTAGGGCCCGAGTAACCGACAACGTCGGGCCAGCGAAGGCCCTATTGAAATTGGTATGTTTATTATTATTCTTCTACCAAATGAATTGTCTTTATCATATCCCAAAACTCACGAAATTTGGCATGCATATCAGGATTGGTGAAAAATTTGATGTTTTATGGGTCCCATAATTAAGTATGACAAAATGGCTCTCAAGCGCCCCCGAGAATTTGGACCGGCGACGCCCCTCGGCCAGTATTTCCGATTGACTTGAAATTGGACACGCATGTCCACTCTGTCTACTCTACAAAAAAGACAATCAGACCCCTAAACTCTGCCTTCCAAAATTTTCTGCCATTTTCAATTTAGTGAAAAACTATTTTTTGCAAACTCCTCCTACACGCTGTGTCTGATTGCTACCAAATTTGCTCTGAATCATTATTGAATCTAGATCATTAAAAAGTATTAAAAGATGTTTGATATCTCTTTGCATTTACAAGATATGGACATATACACTTCTTAGGAGCGTAGCTAATATATCAATACACAACTTCTGAAACATTTGTCATAAAATCACCAAATTTGCAGCATACGTATGTGCAGATTGCATCCTGTAACATATCCCAAAATGTTCATTCCATTCAACCACTAGGGGGCGCCACAGTAAACCCGCCATGTTGTGCTTTTTTGTCACTTTTCGCAGTTTTCAGCCTTTGTACTTTAACAAACTCCTCCTACAGAATTAATGGGATCAACCTCAAATTTGGTCAATATGGTCTCCAGACCTTTGTGATGAAAAGTTATCAAATTCTTGAGTTTTCATGGAAGAACCTTGATGCGGCGTAGTGGCCATTTTGCCTCATTCGGCATGAAAAAGCAAGTTGTTTTCTTATGCATGATGCTACTTCAAGCCTAAGCATATATCATTGCCAACATGTTCAATAACTCATAGCCTCACCTACTGGCAAAAGGAAATGTCACATTTATACTTTTATTTACTCCTAGCCAATTGACCAGATCAAACTCAAATTTGTTAAAGATAGCCTTAAGACATTGAAGATGCATTGTCATCAATATTGTGACTTTTTGTTGAACGCTGTTGCCGTGGCAACGCATCATTCGCCATGAAAAAGGAAGCTGATTGTTCAGTGGCTTGGGATGTTCAAACACTCATGGAACTTTGTACATGTGTCCTAGGTGATGCAAACATATTTTATATGGCTTTTTGGCTTGACCATTTTAAATTGTCTCCATAGCACCCCCTACAATATTTAAAAAGAGCAGCCCCAGCGCTACGTTTCAGGTACATGTATGAAACTTGGTAGGCCCATGCATCCCATAAAGACTTTTAAAAAAGTATGTTGGGACCATGCTCTAAACTGTACCGGAAGTCGTAGATTTTCATTTATGTGTGAATTTTCCCTTGATTTTGGACAATTTATAGGCGCTACACTTTAACAAACTCCTCCTAGGGACTTTATCAGATCCACTTTAAATTTTGTCAGTACAATCTCAATACCATTGTGATTAAAAGTTATCAAAAGCTTTACGTTTGACAGAATGGCTTAGCCGTAGCGGGCGGCTACTTTACATGATTCCCCATCAAAAAAGCTGATGTAACTCCACTGGACTTGTTCCAAAGGGTCCCAAACTTCCCATGCTTGATAACACTCATGGCCTGACAATGTCTAAACACAAATTTTCACTAATATTCACAGCGCCACCTGCTGGCAAAAGGAAATCTGCGTTTTCTGACAAACGGCATCCGATTTATATGACTTTTACACAATGTGGTTTACACTTCATATAGAGCAACATAATGCATGTTTGCGCGTGTTCTGTTGCACCAGACAGCGATACAGGAAGCGGTGCACTATTTGCAAAGTGTAATTTCCAGCGTCAGGCAGTCCACACGGGAAATAAACGTCGGACTCATGGGCGCGCTGTCCGACGGTCGCGGATGTTCTCGGCCACGCAGGCCGGAGTCCCTCTGGCACCCCCGACATGCAGGAGGATGCGAGGGCCCGTTCATCACTGCTCGCAGCTTTAATAATTAGGGCCCGAGCACCGACGTAGTCGCAGCGTAGGATCTATTGTTCTTCAAATGTTTAGTATTATTGCGCATGTTTCGTCGCAAAAAGGAGGTGCTTGGGATACTGGGAATTTTTTTTAATTTGGCACGCAAACCAGTTTTTGCGAAAATTGCAGTCTGATTGGGGTGAAACATTGGCTCGATGGCGCCCCCTATTGAGTAGCCCAAACGTAGCCTAGCTGTATGAAATTTGGTACGTATGTGTAACGTGATGGGACGTACAAAAAATCCTCTTGGAGTTATTCACTAAACCAAACAGGAAGTCAGCCATTTTGAATTTGATGATGTTTGGACCATTTCAAGGCGCCGTACATTAACGAACTCCTAGAGATTTGACACGATCGACTTCAGATTTGGCCAGTATGCTCTTGAGACCTTGGCAGTGAAAGGTTACTCAAAGATCAAAATCGAACTATGTATCTGTGGCGTGGCGTCAAAAAAACACCATTCGCCACGAAAGAGGAAGTTGTTGTAACTCGCCCATACATTGTCGAATCTGCTCCAAATCTCTCATATGTCATAACATCCTAACCCTGAAGACATCTATATGACAATTTAGAATCATAGCAATAGCTCAACCTAGTGGCAACAGGAAGTTGTAGGTTGTGTACTTTTACATCCTGCTCCTCACAGATTAATCAGATCCCTCTAAAATACTGTCAGAAAAGCCTTAAGACCTTGATAATGCTTCATTGTGAAAATGGTCAGAATTTGTTGAAGGGCGGAGATGTGGTGGCTCGGCGAATATTTGTCAACTCGAAATTGAGTTGTGACCTAAAAGATGGGGCAATTCCCCCATGCCCTAAAGTGGTGATTTACAACCATTATGAGAGATCGTAAGGTGTGTCGTGGGAAAATGTCCAATTTCACTTAATCAGTCCTAAAAAATATAATTTAGTTGCTGCAAATAATTTGCCATTGTTGAGCATCTGAGCCTGCAATATAGTGGCTGGCTAAGTAATTAAATACTCTTCCATGACAGTGGGTGGCAGTAGGTAGCAAAATAATGACCGTGTTAATTTAAGACAGTAGAACTAAATGATGCGCGGAAGAGGTTACGGTGACAAGACGAACAGCGATGGAGAAATATTCTGAACTGGGCCCTGGACAAAATTCTAACCCAGATGAAAAGCCTTGTTTGAGTGGTGTTCAAAAGAAAGAAAAAACGATGAGCTTGAGGCAATACAGCGACTGTTATCTTTCGTTTGGATTTACTTTCACTGGCGATCTGACTGCACCGACTCCGTTATGCTTTGTGTGTGGGGAAAAGCTATCCAACAGTGTCATGGTCCAAAGCAAGCTTAAACGTCATCTCCAAACGAAACACGCGTCACTTACATACACATATGCTGTATTATGCTACAAAGTGTCATTTTGTAACTTGTTTGATTGTTGGTTGTCACTTTGCAAGGCACGCATGGTTATTGAATATTCTTTCGGACGTTTGAAGGCAAGATTTGCGAGTTTAAGGAGGGCAATGAACATAAAAGTGGAGAACTTTCCCTTTATAATCTATGCTTGTTTTGTGCTACACAACTATTGTGAGGTTTACAAAGAAACTGTTAGCGAACAATGCATAAATGCTGCTCTGCAGTAAGACAGGGACTTCCAGCCACCTGGCAGAGCTACGAGAGCAGACAACAACGAAACCAAGGGGAAACGCGTTAGACGTGTGCTAATCAAATTTTTTGACCCATTACATAGTAAAACTTGTACTTGCTAGTGTTCATTATAAATCCTTTTATTTTGTTTGCCTAAGTTCATCTCTGTCTTGAGTCTGATGTACAAAAGAGGAGCCTGCTGACTGATTAATGGTATGCACCATCCACCACGTAAAATTCCTTGTATGTGCAACATACTCTGGCAAAATAAACGGTTCTGATTCTGATGACAGGAGGAGCGTCTCAACGCTGAGATCGCCACAGCGTCCTATGACTTTTTTGCCCGAGTTAGACATTTTTAACTTGCGTCAATCGCACCGCGCCATTGCGAATACGCGTCACTTGAGTCTCATCTCATCTCGTCTCGTCTGTGCATAGACTTTGTATGTAATCTACTCGCGCGAATAATTCACACCGCCTTTGGTGTGAACACGGCATAAAAGGTAAGAGACCTCTTCCCC